CGGTGCCTTTTTCGATTTTAGCTCATGAGACTTGAAAGATAAACACCTACACTATTCTCTGTGCATGTGTGCCATACTTACCCTTGACGGGCATATTCAAACCTTATAGAATGTAAATTTGTCCCCTGACGATTTACTCTCGCTATGCAAATTTCAAGACATTATGATTACTCAGGCGTCAGCGACGGAGTTGAAAATTCGCCTCGGTTTTATTTTTCTTTTTTAATTTTTTTACTATTTTTCGTCGCTGCAAGTGTGTTTTGGCGCGAAATATACTAGTATTTGAAATGTTTATGACCGTATTTATATACGTCAATATTTCGTCCCCAAAGAGTTTTAGCTAATTTTCCGATGCGCGATTTGATTTGGCTCGCATGATACGGCAATTCCTCCAAAAGCTCGCGCCATCAATTAAACGAGTTCACTTACGAAATAATTATGAAAGAGAAAATAGCTCTAATTAATGCGCGTGTCCTAGACAAGTATTTAGCTAGCAGACATTGAAAAGAGAACGCCAGGCACCATTGAGAGGCTTACCCCTTGGGTGATAGTTTGATGTTTACAGATTTCAATAGATTCTCTCATCTTACGAGGGACGGTATACTTATCATTCGCTAAAATGCTTGCATCATTCCATTTAATGCGATGATCATAAGTCCACGCATGGTGAGCTACAGCAGACTTATCCAGTTTACCTTTCTCGCAGTTCGTCTTATGTTCTTTTAGATGAATTGAGAGATTTCTACCTAAAATGATTTCTACTGTAAAATGAGAGAATTTATTGAATCTATAAACATCAATTTATCGCCCAAGAGGGTAAGCCGCTCAATAGTGCGTGGCGTGCTCTTTTCAATGTCTGCATGCTGGCTAAATACTTTTCTAGGACACGCGCATTAATTAGAACTATTTCCTTTTCATGATTATTTCGTAAGTGAAACCGTTTAATTAATGGCGCGGGCTAACAAATTACGACTAACGTGATATTAAGTGACGTGTGAATGTGTATTTAGGTAATTGCACTGATGAAGGCCCAGGTTAACGGACCGAAAGCTTTGCAGTATTAAATATACTTACGTGGTGTACCTTCAAGCTAAATTGCTTATGGATTGTCACCATGCAAACATTCAAAAATATTATGTATTGCTAATGTTCAAAAGCTTTATATTGAAGACTGACACGTGCGCGGCACGCCGGAGTTGACGCCAGAACAGGCGTCTTGTTTATTTAGAAATTGAGTGTTTTCGCAGGGAATGGACACGAACTATTAGTATAATGGGACTGAATGCCGGCTGCGCAAATATGCTCTTTTATCTTTTATATGGCAAGCCAAGACTTGCTTTGGATTTTTATATAGAATATTTCAATATGCAATTACAGAATATTGAAACAAACAATACAGAATACTGAATATATATCTCTAATAAAATCTTACCGATCTTAATACATTTGATTCGATAACATTTTAATATTTTATAAGTAAAACATGCATGGAACAGGAAATATTATTACAGGAAAAGTCCCTGGGTGAACCATGCATCAACAAATTTGAGTATTCGTAGTAAATATTCGGAAACTAGAGACGGGGTGTGAAAACAAATTCAACTGATTAACATTAACTTCACTGCATATTTTCAGTGCGGAGGCGGGAAAGCCATGCAAAGTTCTTAGCTATAACAGGTGTTAATTAATAAGAAATAGAAAACATTTTCCGTGTTTCTATAGAGTAATATATAGAAACACGCGTGGGAGTTTGGGACAACGAGAAATAATCGAGTTCTCTCAAACCCCCACAAGTGTTTCTATAACTACATAGAAACATAGGGAAAAATGTTTTTTATTTATTTTATAATATAACTCAACAAAAAGATTTTCATTGCATCTCTACGCTTGTCAAGTTCGGTGGGAAAAGTCCCATGTTTCTATACAGTTTTAGTATACACCCGACTATTGTTTATTGAAAATCCTATGACCGTATAAAATTTAATTAATTAAATTATTTTCTGTGTAATTGCGGTGTATAGATTATTTTCTCTAAATTAATATATCTAGGCTAGGTACAGGGTGTATACTTAAACAATTAGACAACTCGCCTTTGTTGTATATGAATCAGCACACACGTACTGTAAATGTTATATTATAAAGAAACATCTTAACATAAATATAATATTTAAAATATTGAAAATTATAAATATAACTATATTTGTATTTTCCGTGATATATACTTTTGTTGTGCAAAATAACACGAATACTATTGGTAGAGAAAGCAACTAAAATGTAAAACTACTGACAGGTAAATTTAAAATTTGGCAGTGTAACAATTAGATATTTCGGAAAAGACCTGATTTCACCAGCGAAATTTTCAAGCGAAATGTAAAATTTTTTCCTGCTTCTTTTGAATTGTGGGCAGTCAAGCAGAATTATTTCAAGTGGTCGCAATTCAAAAAGCGTCGGTGGAATCAGGCCCTATAATTATAAAACCGGTTTTCCACTAGCGATATAGCACCCGTTGGAGTGTTTGATAGTTAACGTTGGCATTTAACCGAAGTTTGCGATGCATATAATATTGTAATATTTGCCTCTATTAATTTTATAGCATGTTATGTTTGTTATGATTAGCATGGTTCTGTGAAGTTCTTGTACGCCTAATGTATCATGTTCGAAACAATGGAAATATTTCTGTTTATTTTATTTGAGGATATAGTTTAATTTGTGTTAAATCAACTATTGCTATCATAAGGAGATAATGTTGGATTACGAAGTTGTGTGTTTTGAAATAATTATGATCGACTCTCGCTAGCTCTGTTAATAAATCCATGAGGAATCTAATACATTACTTTTTATTAATAACAGGAATCTAATATGTCTTTCCTGGGCATTGTGATGAACCCTAAAATGAGCCGAAATAATAAAAATTCCGATGTGCCGTTTTTAAAAATTTTCTAAAAATTTCCCAATCTGGACTTATGTTTGAAAAATCCTAATCCGCTCTTATCTTGTCTCCCTCTTCTTATCGCCAAAAAATGTTTTTTATTAGCTGTTTCATTGTTTGAGTAATTTTCCAATACTGTCATTACTGTTCTTATAGCCTGATCATGTTGCGAATATGTCAAGATAAAGGCTCTTGATTAAAGAGGTATTTTTACCGTCTCTGCATGTCGGATATAAAACTATAGTGTTTTGGTCCAACTGATATATTGTAAACCTTACGGAACTATATAATATATATTTATGTCTCTGTAATGGCTGAATAATATTTCTTAAATTAAACTTGCCGTTAAAAGTAAATTTGTTAAATTTTGCGATTGTCTTCCTCAATCGTTTATTGAAATTTCAGTAAAATAAGATTAACATCGTAATATAATTACATGATGAAATTGCTGTAAAGTGATCGAAGCGTCTCAGTTGCTAGGAACATATTTTTTTTTAATAAAAACAATATTATAAACAAAACGATAAACTTTGAAAGTGACGAGTATAAAGTACTTTTTCGCTCAAATATCACATTTTTCTTTAAACGCTTTTGTTTGAAATTTACTTAAAGCATTCTTTAAAATAAGCTGCAATAATACGGCACTATTTGCGTGCATCCAAGCCAAGCATCGGTAAGAATATTAGCTATATATATATTTATCGCTTCCCTTCATATCTAAAAGATACCTTGTCATGACGAGCTCTGTTTTCTGTGTTCTAGATCTCGTACAAAAACAACTCAGACACAGAGTTGGAATAATTTTGGCAATGTGCGTAATTGTCTAACGCACATGCCGATTTATTAATTTTTACTTAACAACAAATTAATTATTAATCAACAAACAATAAATTCAATTACTAAACAATTTGCACAGAAAAGGTGGGGCTAATTTAAACGCCCTACCGAATATACTAATATACCTTTACATTAAGCTCGCGTGAGAAAACGGGGAGGAGGGCGGGTTCAAATTTGATCTGTAATGACCTTGTCGAAGCGAGGAGCAGAATGAATTGGCAGCACATTCTGCTCTTTATCTATACTGACCCTCATCTCCGCTTTCCCACACGTTACCTATATGTCATCAGAATTCCAGGGAAATTACCTGCGCGTCAAACTAAAGTATTTAATATACTTTATTATAAAGTCTCAAGTGCAGGAAGCAATAAATTCTTTATTGGTATGCCAATAATTCCTTTATCGCTTCCCTTCATATCTAAAAGATACCTTGTCATGACGAGCTCTGTTTTCTGTGTTCTAGATCTCGTACAAAAACAACTCAGACACAGAGTTGGAATAATTTTGGCAATGTGCGTAATTGTCTAACGCACATGCCGATTTATTAATTTTTACTTAACAACAAATTAATTATTAATCAACAAACAATAAATTCAATTACTAAACAATTTGCACAGAAAAGGTGGGGCTAATTTAAACGCCACAAGGCTCCTTGGGTAAAGGAGACAAACCCCACCCCGTCATGACAAGGTATCCACAGACAGACTTGTAAAATCAGCAAAACAAATAATATATAAAACATGCATATAAGAAACCCACATATAAGAATCGCAGCAAGGAAAAGGTACAGATCTCCAACCAGTCGTGCCCCTGCATTGACCGGCCGAGTATCTGCAACCTGAGTCGCCAATATGAAAATAGTGATATGAGGTAGAGGAGCGCTAGCTTTACCCCTGTATCAGCATTGCGCCCGATTACCAATGAGTCTCATCGTAGTTATCGTAGTTGCAACGAATATGGGATATAACGAAATAAGTACGAACTAAGAGGTGTGCAGCCAAGGTCAACCCCCGCCAGGCACGGCAATAAATTACTCATGTCGACATATGATGCGAAATAGGTCGCGAAGATAAGTTTGGACTACGAATGTACTTGCGGAATGCGTCGGATTTCCACCTACCCATTACTCTGATTTGAGCGTCAGAAAAACCGCATTCCGCAGCGAAAGTAGCTGCACCAATTCGAAAACTGTGCCCCTTATACTTAGTAGGGTCAAGACCACATGCACGAAAAATCAAAGCCAAATGCTCAGTAAATAGTTGCGTGTTACTGCGCGCCCATCGAGAGTGCGAAAAAGTGGGCCATCGGATAAACCGCGACGCGCAAAATAGTCGAGTAATGTCTGCACAGGGCAAATATCGGAACGGCGGTGAAGTGTAAGAGAAACACGAGGTTGATTGTAGGAATGTTTAAAGTTCGCAAAATTGATTTTCAAACCGGAAATATTGCCCAAATTATCAACAAGCTGAACCACTTGAGATAATTGAAGCACGCCGGGAGACCGTGGGCAAGTCGTTATTTCACCAACCCGCAAAAAGGCAAAAAAGGCTGTCGTACACATTGCCCTAAATAAAAGTGCGCGATATTCACTAGATGCAACGAGAGAAGTCTGTTGTAAAATTGTGCGGAGGATAGAAATAGTGATTGGAAGGCGTGCATCAACACCGGAGCCAAGCTTACCATATCCTTTCAACATTTCGAGAACCCAAAATACCTTTGTAGGGTCATGCACGCCCGTTAAACGGTGACAATAACCTAATGCAGAAACATATGTATTCGCGGTCGAGGCTGCATAATTGCGCTGAAACATGAATGCGATAAATAAACCCAAGTCTGAAGGCGATATGGGCAGTTTGACTGAAGCAGATTGAAAAACTGCAGAAGAAAACTGATTGTAGAGTTTCCATGCCCTGCGATAGGTAGGGATTGACGAAGGCTGCAAACTAGATTGAATTAACCGCGAGGTAATAGCGGCCAATTGTGTGGGAGAAGGTGAGGCGGTATGACTGTCGGTGTTGGCCGAACGCCCACCGGAGCTAGCCGTTTGAACTTCGAAACCTGCAAGCGAGATAAGGAGTCAGCCAAAACATTTGTAACCCCCGCTACATGGCGAGCGCGAAAGAGAATATTAAATTGCAAACAAGCCAGCACCAGGCGTCGAACAAACACCATAACAGTCACATCACGAGAAGTAGCCTTATTTATAATATCAACCAATGCCGCATTATCGGTGAAAAAAGTTATACGCTGGTTACGCATCTGGTCTCCCCACAGAAGAACGCTTAATACGATTGGGTAGAATTCCAAAATGGTTATGTTAAAAGTTTTCCAATTGTCGGGCCAGGCACCGTAACACCACTCAAAACCAAAAAGCGCGCCATAGCCGAAGCTAGCCGCAGAATCAGTGTACAGGTTAAGGCTAGCAGAGTCATGCCACATGTCATTGAGAAAAAACGATCGGCCATTAAAATTGGCTAAAAACGACTGCCAAATTTCGAGATCAGCCTTTACCGATTTAGTTAGGCGAATGAAATGATGAGCACACCGTACGCCCTTAGTTAAATCAATAAGACGTCGGAGAAAGGCCCTCCCAGGGACAACGACTGAACAAGCAAAATTGAGTAAACCGGTTAAAGATTGTATCTCGCGTAATGTGACCTTTTTGCGACAAAGAAAAGCCGATATCAACTGCTTGCATTTGTCAGTTTTATCCAAAGGTAAGCGGGCTTCCATGCACAAAGTATCTAATTCAATGCCGGCAAAGGAAAGAACGTTGTGTGGGCCGATTGTTTTTTCTGGAGCGATTGGCACGCCTACGTGTTCACAGAGAGACAAAAAGCGAACAAGGTCAATGCGACATTGGTGATAAGTAGGTGCGGCCATTAGATAATCATCGAGAATGTGGATTAGATGCGCGATTGACAAGTGTGTCTTAGCAACCCATTCGATAGCAGTGCTAAACATCTCGAAAGTGCGACATGACGACGCACACCCCATAGGCATAACTCGATCATAATAATATTTGCCTTGCCAAAAAATACCCAAGAGATCGTAATCGGCAGGGCGTATGGGAATAATACGAAATGCGCTTTTGATATCTGTCTTCGCAAGAAAACAACCGCGCCCAAGCTGCTTGATCATAGAAACTGCATCATCGACACGAGCATAGTTCACAGAGGTATGCTCGGGAGCAATCCCATCGTTAACAGAAGCACCGTTCGGAAATGACAAATGGTGAATCAAACGGTACTCCCCTGGAGTTTTCTTAGGAACAACGCCTAGCGGAGAGACTCGAAAATTGGGAAAAGGGGGATTGTCAAAGGGCCCAGCAATGCGATTCGCGCTAATTCTTTCGAAAGTTTAGCACTAACGATTTCCGGGTTCTGCAGGGCCGAAACAAGATTTGTTGCAAAAAACGATATACGAATGCCTTCAAAATGAAGGGGAAAACCAAATTGAAAACCATTATATAACATAGATGTCAATCGCACATCATATCCACATAGTAGGGGAGAGTTTATTAATTTGTACTGGTGTTGGCAGGACGGGACTTGGATGCTGCAGGGGTTGACTGCGAATTTGAGCGTGAGGGACGAAAATTACATCGGAGTGCGGAGTGGACTACACCACATTTAAAGCATTGATGTTTAAAATTACAGCCCGGACAATCGCCGCCCCGATGGAACTTGCGACAAAATCCCCTGGGAACAAATAGGGCAGGAACTGACGCTGGCGAATTAGACCCATGATTACGCGTAGGTAGCTGGGTTTTAGTGAAGCGTGAATGATTGAAATTTTGCGCCCTTATCCACAGTTCCCAGTGAGTGTCGCTCCACGGTGCATCGGCTGGGTTAGTTTGACGCAAAAGACGAAATTGAGCGTCGTAAAAACGCCAGTCACCCCCGCGAGCAGCCAAATCGCGAACAACTTCGCCGTATTTCATCAAAGCGGGGGCCTCCATGGGGAATTTAGTTGTGTACACCCCGACAAAAATTTGAAACGCTGAAGTCCATGCCTCGATATTAGGGATGGACTTCACTTTGTGTGTTGGTTCCAAAGATAAAAGCGGAACATTGGAGCCTTCTTGAGGCCCCACCGACAGCTGATAACGAGTATCACAAGCCCCAGAACCAAGCAATAGGCTGAAATCTAAAAATTCATTGGCCCAAATTTTCGACTTCAATTTGGCACTAACGTTTGCTCCGATAGGCAAACTGATGGAATTAAATTTGGAGCTTGGCGTTGGGGACCGCGATACCGGCACTAAGTTAGGCTCACCTGATATATTGAGTAAAGCAGACGCCACCGGCCCCTGCATCGTGGCGTCTGCCGTACCCAACACACCCGAAGCAACCATGGCAATTCACGCGTCTCCGTCGAGAACTCGGGCGGTGTAGATGGGATGGTGTGTGACTGGAGGTTGGCCATGACCGCCTGCGTTGTTTCCGAAATTATTCGGGCAAGAGTAGCTTCTGAGAGGGTAAAATGGTTGGTAGACCCCGCAGAGGTGTTGTCTGTTGTTGGTGCAGTAGTTGGCGCGGACAATGGCTGCGGTAAGGTATTCACCGATGTACTGGGAGCCGTGAGTGGACCGGAGCGGGACGATCGTCGCGGACGGCCGGGTCGGGTTGGTTGCGTTCGCCTTTTCACTCGTTTACTCGCTCTGGTAGTGGTAGCAGGCATAATTCCGTATAGCAAGAACTAAGGAATAAACAAAGAGCAGAGCAAGAGCGAAACGAATGTCTGTGATACGTAAAATACTATATACCAGAGACACGCCACGCACAATACAATTGAAAAATATTAAAAAAGACAGGAAGAATGGAAAAGGCAGCGGAATAATCATGGCATACAACGAGGGTAGCCGCATTTGATTATCCCGTGATGCTGCAAATACTGAAAATTATCGGGCAATCTGAAAACAACATGCCGCACCATCCCACAATATATTGACTTCAACTGTGGGCATCCGGAAACGTAAACGCCCTACCCACTAAGACATGCATTTTTTCCTACACAGAACGAACGAGCGATATATGCATAAACTACATCAGCACGACAAACATCACAAACCACACAACGCATATATAACAAGTAAAATCATGAACTCGTCCTGCGCAGCAAAAAACCCAATGTTGAAATCTCAACGTGGGCATCTGTAAACAGTCATGTTGCTCTAGCCCATATTGAGTAAATCAAACGTATGATAAACGACAAATAAAATGCGGAGTATGCGTAGTAAGAGATATACAGAAAAACATATACACACATATATAATATAATATGCATAATATATACACGATAAATGAACTACAACAGTGCCAGAGCTTTCAAAATAGCCCCGCGATAGCTCCTATACAAACAATATTGCCCTGTGTGTTACAATGAACGCCGTCCGTGGATAACAGAACACGGGCGGGATTGAAAAATTCCCGATGTTCCCATAGAAAATACCCTGCTCCTCTGCAAGAACCACGGACAAATACTGGCGCAAAAGAGCGGCCTTGGTGTTAAAAACGCTATCAGATTCCCGCGTTTTGGCGATGTTGCGGTCAATCACCTGGCACACCCCAATGACGCGAACGTGAAATTCGTCGCGAAGTTGGCGAGCGAGCTCTTCAAGCCTCGATCCTACTACCTCAGGGGCATGTGTAGTTAGATCATTTGTGCCCAACTCGAGAATTATAATGTCAGGTTTGGCAGATCGGACAGAAGAAAGATCGAATTGAATAACTTTTTCAACTGTCCGGCCACCTGTACCCAGCATAGTGACATAACCCGATTCGGGAATATGGAAATTTTGGGATGCACGGGAATCGAAATTAGCCTTTAAATCATCCCGTAAGCGACGGACAAAAGAATGACCCAAAATTAAAATATTTGGAAAGCCAAAAGACATTCTAAATTATTTCTAATAAGAATAAATATAGAGATAGTTACCTGTTCAAAGAGGTGTCAAAAAATTCAAATTTGATCTGTAATGACCTTGTCGAAGCGAGGAGCAGAATGAATTGCGGGCAGCACATTCTGCTCTTTATCTATACTGACCCTCATCTCCGCTTTCCCACACGTTACCTATATGTCATCAGAATTCCAGGGAAATTACCTGCGCGTCAAACTAAAGTATTTAATATACTTTATTATAAAGTCTCAAGTGCAGGAAGCAATAAATTCTTTATTGGTATGCCAATAATTCCTATATATATATATATATATATATATATATATATATATATATATATATATATATATATATATATATATATAGATCTGTGTTTTATATGTTCTTTCTACACAAGTATAACCAACCGGGCAAGCAGAAAATTCTACTTGACCACGGTGGGAATCGAACCCACGACCTTCGCATTTCTGGGACGATGCTCTACCGTCTGAGCTACAAGGCCAAGTTGGGAACGACTGTTACTTAAGATGTTATTGACATTACGGAGTTTCGTCCTTACGTGTCGGTATGCAGTTACTTCTGCAAATGTTGATATATTTGTACTTTCGCTCTTAATTGAGCCATTTGTTCACTTGTGGGGTTATATGTGATCTGTGTTTTATATGTTCTTTCTACACAAGTATAACCATACATACGTACGCAGATGGCGTTGTGGGGACCTCTGATGGCGTAAGTTTTCCCTACATTGTGGGGACCTGTGTAAAATTTCATAAAACATGCGTTATGGGGACTTCATAGTGTAAACGTTGTGGGGACTTGAAAATTTGAGTGTAATCATTGTGGGGACCATGCAACGTTTGTGTAAACATTGTGGGGACTCGAATGTATAACCATGGTAATTCTTATTGATTTTAAAAGATTAGTCATTTTTAGACAATAGTTAATTCTGATCAGTTTTACAAATTTTAAAACTTAAGCAATGAAACCTTAAATTAAACGACGCTGTATAGTTTATACATTGATTCATCTCTTACACGAATTTATATTATGTCGATAGCAAGTCCGTACCTGATACTCTGCATACAGTAAATCATTTATACCATACAAAACGCGCATTTTGTGCAGTAATCAAATCATTTTGGCTGTATACAGTATTGATTATAAGTATATTGCTTTGTATCGATTTACGCGTCGAAGTATCCGCATCACAGACATAATTTATAGGAGAAAAAATAAGTCGCGACTTATTTAAAGCTAGATTACAGTCGCTTTTGCGCATGTGCGAGCTTTTTTTCAAGCTCCAAGGCCCCCGCGGCGGAGGTAAAAAGACCCTGGGTTCCTGGGTACGAGGTTGGCTTTGTTTACATTTTTTGTTTTTAATCCAGTTCATTTGCACAACATGAAGTATTCCACAACTAAATTAAAATGGCGGACGCGTCAGGAGTGGAGTTTTATAAAACCATTCAACAATTGTCATTTAGATCACTAACATTTAAATATTATAAAAACTACCACTGGAACATATATCGTGGATCAATTTGACAATTTTTGTGCGTGTATCGTTAATAAAACATTAAAAACAAGCCGATTAAACCGGCGTTTATGTCGCAACCTGAGTGGCTTTAGAATGAGTGAAATTTCTACCACTGCAAAATTTTGGGTAGTGTTCTCCAAGCAAATGCATTGAAGAGAATTTCGATACCTGTATGATCAATTAAAATTTCCAGACAGCGACAGTGGCCATATGGTAAGTATGTCAGGATTGTATCTAAGTTTGAGATAATTATATTATAATGTTTACCAGGGTTGCATATAAGATTCTTTTAAAATTAAAAACTTCTTATTTCTTACATTAATATAAGAAGATATACAGTAAGAAGAAATAAGATAAGAAGATTTGCCAACCCTGATGTTTACAGTGCATGATTGTTGGATTATTAAATTTTGGTAAAGGATGATACTCTAGTAATTTTGTTCCGAATTTAAATGACCTCTAACTCAATTCGAGTAAACTTGGAAGTTAATAAAATATATCCGGCTGACCTTCATACCCTGTTATAATATTATAGGATTCAGAATTATACTCTAATTAAAACCTGTGGAGTGAGCAGGACAAGGAGCTAGAGATGGAATTCAGGGAAGAGGACAATCAATGAATTTTCAGGTGGATCTATCAACCACACCCAGAAAATGTTCCAGTTTAATACAAATGTGCCTGGCTATGGTTGTTGCAATCAAAAACATTCTGGTCCTTTTCCATGCGTTACTGATATAGATCTCCCTATTAAAGGGAGGATCATTTTAGATATTTAAAAAAAAAACTTGGGGTACCTGGCACCTGTTAGTTAAATTGCAATGCACAATGCTTAAAACATATTTCACACAATCCATTCCTTGCTACAAACTACAAATTTTAATGAAACTCCTCAGCATATTATTAATTAATACAGGCTTAAATTGTATGGTAGTATCTTATTTCAGTAAGAAAATCCATCAAATATTAAAATATACCAACACAGCAGTTAATACATTGTTTTTTCGTTGACTTAAATTACTTGTTTATTCCTGATAGCCATAATAATTAGAACTCACCAGTGTTAAAACACTGAAGCAGCAGTGATCTACTTATATGGATACTAGTATGTGCGGTTTACTATTGTAAGACATACGTTTTCTTTTAGGTGGAATGCATTTCAGGTCTTATAAGTTCCACATACTCACAGTCATTGTTTCTAAATGCTAGACAATTCCTGGTCTATAGTCTATTTGGCTGATGGGTTTTAATCAGTCCTTTGATCAAAATGCAGGGACATGAGGATATGTTAGACTCAATTTTGCTTCGGTTGTAACTTGTATCACCAATCAGATTCCATCAATGATGCCCTTATAACTGGACTTGACAACTGGTACCTAAAGAAGAATTCTAATTATCAATCTTATTCCAATATATAATTGAATAATATGATATAAGTATATTATTTTTATTCCTGTTTAA